TTAATTGTTCCTTTGTTCACATGCTTGTACTCATTGCTGAAATTCGTGAGCATAACCGCTGCTTTGCCTCCCTGCAGCTCCGCAATTCCTCTTACGACCGACTGAAATAATGACGCTTGAGCGAGGCGGAATGGTGACTTGTTCTTCCAGCACATTCAAGGCATGGGTTACTGACGGCGTGCGCAGCGGTAGTGCTTCTTCTGTGGATAACGTTATTGACTTTGTTTTTAGGTTGATCACAGCACCATGGAGGCATAAGAAGTCCGTGCCAAGGATGACATCTCTGGAGCAACGCTGTAGGACCATGAAGTCTGTAGGATAAATACGGCCGTTAATGGTGACTCTCGCTGTACAGATTCCTGCAGGCGTTACGAGATGACCTCCGGCTGTGCGGATTTCAGGGCCTTGCCAAGCTGTCCTAACTTTTTTTAACCTCGTGGCGAACGACCCACTTATGACGGAGTAGTCGGCTCCAGTATCGACGAGAGCGGTCACACTGTGGCCGTCGATAAGCACGTCGAGGTCGCTAGTTCGCCGTCTCGCATTACAGTTAGGGCGTGGCGTCGGGTCACGGCTGCGTCGGCTTGTTCCGTTGCTTCCATGTTGCGTCGTCAGGCCACCTTCGGTAAGTGAGCTTTCGCCGTCTGGGCTTTGCCTGGTCGGCGTTGTGTTCGGAAAGCTCCGTCGCGGCGTCGTCGTCGTCGGAGGATCTTCGGTAGTTCGTCGCACAGCAACCGCACCTCCATCGGTTGCTGCCCTTAGTTTCCCGGATACGGGCTAGGAGACCGGCCCCGCGTGGGGCTAGAGTACTGCCGGGGGTGCGGTGACATGCGGCGGCAGGACGACAGAGAACAGGAAGGACTTCGTGGTGTCCATTGAGTTCCTGTCAGGTAGTCAGCGATGTCACGTGGCCGTTCTCCTGGCTGCGGACGCAGTGCATTGACGGCGAAGCCACGCAGTCCCATCTGTCGGTACTGGCAACGGCGGTATGTACAGGATTGGTAATACACACAAGGAGCCCCAAAGTTGGAAACTGTCAGGGGGGCTCCCATACATGATGTTAACGGGAGAAGAAACAAAATATACAACATTCAGTTGTTACGGTATCTTCAGTAAGAAAGAAAAAAAAGAAAAGCACAGTGCGAAAAAACGAAAGTAGAAAATACATATATGTTTAGCAAGGCAAAAAAGAAAACTCTGAAGAACAAACAAGCGCAAGTTATAATACAAAACGTAAGGACAATATAACATGTAGCAATTGTTATCGCTACATTAAAAAGTAGTTGCTAAGATGAAGACAACTGTTGCAAAAAATATTTCTTTACTTGGTTTTTGAATGGATGTTCTGTGGTTGATGATTTTATTACGTAAGGAAGGGAATTCCACAGCTTGATTCCCGTAAATGTGGTAGTGAACTTGCCGTAGTTTGTGCGAACTTTAGGCAGAAGGCGGTTATTAAGCTCAGAAAACCTAGTAATATTATTATTTACAAGGCCTTCCGAGACAATGCCATCTATATGCACATTACCGCGAAAAAGCCTATACATCCCAACTGATAACTTCAGCTGAAAGAGGTGATAAAGAGGATGTATATTTAAATTCTGATAAAGTGGCGTTGCATTGGTTAAGAAATGGCTGAAAGTCATGAGTCGAAGTGCTTGATTCTGTAGGCGTTGTAGTTGGTTGAGGTGGGTCAAATATGTGTTACCCCAGGCTGATATGCAATAAAATAAACGGCTGTGAATATGTGCGTGATAAAGGGAGTGGATTATGTGTGGCTGAAAATATGAACGAGTTTTGATTATGGCGCGTATTCCAAAGGTTATCTTGCGAATGAGTGATTGCGCATGAAGATTGAATTTCATATGCCGGTCAAGAACTACACCGAGAAACGTTGTACTGTCGGACATGGGAATTAAATTATCGTCCAGACGCACAGATATAGATTTTGAAAGTACAGTCGGGAAGGAATGAAAAACTATAAAAACGGTTTTTGATGGATTAATTCTTAACATGTTCATTCGACACCAGGAACCTATATTATGTAGATCCACGTTAATGTTTCGTTGTAGCTCATCGACATTGTTAGCATAAGTAAAAATGGTCGTGTCATCTGCATATAAGATACAGTCTGTAGCGGTCAAAACATTAGGTAGATCATTAATAAATAGCAAAAAGAGCAGCGGGCCAAGGATCGAGCCCTGAGGAACACCTTGATTTACTTCCTTAGCTGCTGAAACTTTACCGTCAATCTGAACAACTTGAGTGCGATTGCAGAGATAACTAGATATAAATTGAAGTGCAGGGCCAGTTATGCCATACGATTCAAGTTTATGTATAAGAATTTTGTGATTAATTGTGTCAAAAGCTTTCGTTAAATCTATCAATACGCCACCAACTACGAAGCCTGTGTGCCCGGCCTCGCCGCAGTGGTAGCAGAGCGGGCGGTTGTCAGGTGCACGCCAAACATTCGTTTTCCTCGGCGCACTGCGCTGGCCCACTGGCGAACGGTAGGACGTCGGTGGGAGTGGTGGCGGTGGTGGCGTCTGGCGACAGAAGTGCGACGGGGCGGTGTTTTGGCGTGGACGGGGAGGAGCGTTGTGGCGCACTGCAGTGGCGTAGCTCATAGTTTCTGGCTCGAGCAGCGGTGTTTGGGGAATTCGAAGCGATAGCCGAACTTCTTGTCGCACAATGTCGGTGATCGAATCCACTTGAGGCTGTGCCGAAGGCAACAGCTTGCGCAGCTCTTCCCGCACAATCGCTCGGATTGTTTCACGCAGGTCTTCGGAGTCAATGGCTTGAGCAGCAGCGCATTCTGGAATCAGGTGACGATTATACTGTCTGGTACGCATGTCCAGGGTTTTTTCGATAGTGGTCGCTTCGGATACAAATTCTTGCACGGTGTTTGGTGGATTCCTAATTAGCCCCGCGAAGATCTCCTGTTTGACTCCTCGCCTGAGGAAACAAACTTTCTTCTTCTCAGGCATGTCTGGGTCCGCGTGACGGAATAGGCGGGGCATCTCCAATGTGAAAATTGCAACCTTTTTATTTTGTAGCTGAACCCGGGTCTCTAGTAGAGCAGCGGCCCTCTCTTTTCGAGCGACGCTCGCGAACATTTGCAGGATTGCACCGCAGAAAACATCCCACGTTCAGAGCGTGGACTCCCGATTCTCGAGCCAGGTCCTTGCCGTGTCTTCGAGGTAGAAGTACACACTACGGAGCTTTTCTTCGTTGTCCCAGTGGTTGAGGGCGGCCACACGGTCGTATGTTTCTAGCCAGGTCTCCGGGTCTTCAAACGATGACCCATGGAACGTTGGTGGTTCCCTGGGTAGATGAATGACGATCGCGGGCTGGGACGCTCCAGTTGTCATTGTCGCTGTAGTCGAGGTCATGGCCTTGGTCTTCCGCGCCTTATCGTGTAGAAGCCTGTACTCCGGTGGGAGACCTTGCTGTCGGCGGCTTGTTCGCGTCTCTTGTTGGCGTCAGTGTCTTCTCTGCGACGTGGGCTTGCTTCACGGCTTGACGGGGGCGTCCGATACATGAACGAAGCAGCACCTCCACCAGATGTCACGGGAATCGTGACGGAGACGAATGGAGCACACTGCGAGTCGAATAATAAATTCTTTATTTGGGCGAACCTGTGCCCAGTAAACGGAAAGTCGGACTACAGTAGCAGCCTTGGACTGATATCGGGGAACGGAGCGTCGGCCGTCGGTCAACAACTGACAAGCGGCGAAGTGCGTCGGCATTTATACTCTTGCCATCGATTGTTCTAGCGTTATCGCTGGAGGTGGCGTAGGTTCCAGAATAATCTGTACAGTTCGCAGAGTGGGCGTGATCTTATCGAAATGATCTACTAAAGTCCGGAAGCTTCTCGAATTTTGCACGCGCGTTTTGTGCTGAGAATTGTGTAGTGTTTTGGGGCGATAACAAAACTTGAGAAGGGAAACGTGGCAATATTATAGGCTTCTTTTGCTTTGCGCACTATACGCCTAAAATTAGCTGGCCATGAATTTATAATCACTCCAATGTTTGGGGCAATGAATAATTAACAGCTTTTTCCAAGCTGGTTTTCGCTTCCTCTACCCCCTGACACATTCTAGATTCCACCACGCGCTAAAAGATCCCTCTGTGTTTGAGTGTACAGTAAACCTTGAATTTTTTAATGATCGTTTCAATACCGCTCACAGACTCATAGCCCTAAGGTCTTCCTGCATTCCTCACAAAAAAATAACGTAGATTTTAAGTCTTCTTGTAATTTAGCATAACTTACGAATGAGCCAACTTTCCCTGCAAACTGAACAGCGGGAACTTAGTTTCAAAACTAATGGGGAGGTGGTCGCTGTTTGTAGCACATTCTAATATATTTCACGAGGATATGCTTAAAGTATAACTGGAAAATGGTAAATCAATAGTCGATTAGGAGTTACCTCTTACAAATGTAGCAACGTGTGAGTTCAAGCAGGAAAAGTTGTTATCAAGCATCCATTCCCACAAACGTCTTCCACATACATCAGATCTGAAGCCCCAAGACACAAGGTGTGAATTGAAATCACCACACAGTACTATTTCTTTTCTGCATGAAGCTAACATAATATCGAGGCATCTCGTGTCCTGAACTCCTGCAGGAAAGTTTACATTTGCAAAAGAGAAAGGCGAGCAGTCTGGTAGTGTTATGTCTAACACCAGAGTTTCGTAATGCGTATCCATACACTGATACGATATCTTGGCTCTGTGACTAAATTTCGTTGATATTAAGAAAGCCAGACCGCCACCTCTACTCGGGCGAGCCAGCCGTATTAATCAATAGTTTTTCATGTAAAATGTTTTACCGTTAGCAAGCCAGGTTTCTTGAATGGCAATTATGTCGGGAGAAATTCGCGAAGAAATATATTGTAAATCAGTAGTTGCCAACCTAATAGACCGGCAATTCCAAGCAGAATTTTTAGGGAACCTATTTTGAAGCTCACCTGTGGTCACCTGTGGTCACACAAGCTCACCTGTGGTCTCATTGGCTTCCAACACGCTAACCAAGGCGGCGTACATGACTCTCAACTCTGCAAGGTTTGGTGAAATGATGGATAGGTGGCGCCAAGCGTCCGACAGAAACGGCTTCACTGCCTTGCGCACGTCAGTGGGCTCGAAGAATACTGCATGAAAGCGAACCCAGTGTCACCGAAAAGGAGGATGCTCAAATTTCGAAATGAACTGCCGTTCATCTCCAACTTATCTCTAACATTCAATCATGAATCACTGCCTGAAATTGCGCACAGTTCCTTTTTTTTTGCAAAAAAAAATATTCAAGTATTCTCGAGACTGCAGCTAGGTACACTATTTATATATTTATTTATTTATTTATTTGCGTATTTACTTCATCACTCAAAGTAGCATTAGGCATCACAGCGAAGAGGGTGAACAAAAAGAAACTACAATGTCAACCAAACAACTAGCCCTACTAGCTCGCCAATAATCACAATTAAAATCACAAATACATATGTGACAATGAAAAAAATAATAACAAAATGCGGTTGTAGTCACAAATAGAAAAATAATTTTGCATAATACAGGCAATGTTCGAAGGCCATTGGTTTTATTTCTGGAGTGGTTGCGGAGAAATTCATTTTTTCATCAGTTTTGCAAGCCATTGCTGGCATAATAAACCTTTGATCTACGGGTCTGAGTTTGAGACGTATGAGGAGTGCGATGCTAGTAAATAATTTACCTTGCCGAATCTGACATGGCAATGATAGACAGAATAAAAAAACTTCAATCGCAATTTACGTCGACACTTCAGTAAATAATTTTGATCTAATTTTTCTTTGAAACTCGCCGCCCGGATATTTCTCCTGTAAATCCCGGATGCCAACGAAGCAGCTAAATCCTGCACTTCTTCCAATTTGCGAATGTCCTGTGTAGCTGGAGGGTTCCAAGCTGTGCAGGCATATATATTCAAGAATTCGAACATTGGGCTTGCTTGCACTATAGGTACTTACTAGACACGGAAACGTTATCGCATTTTGTCGAAAAAATCTTTTCCCAGTCTCGAATTGCAACGTGGTGAACTAGATATAGTCTTTAGCACCTTAGTTTAGACGTAAAATAGATACTAAGATATTCATCTTCAGATAGCTGTTTTCAGTTTACACTATTCGAATGAAAGCTGCTACCACGTAGATTCTTATTCTTCGTGAATGACATGTAAATTGATCTAATGAAATTGAGTTTATATGCCATTTTAGCACATAAGTGAATATTTCTATTCAGTTTTTGTAGCAAAACTACATTGCCCATGCTTCTTACTTCCCTAAATACCCTGAAATCATCAGCGAATAAACGCATTTGGCATTGGGTAGCATAAATTATGTCCATTATGTATATATGAAAAAGAACAGTGGTCCCAACAAAAGTCCTTGAGGCGCAACAGACTTCATATTTTTAATTTGAGATTCAGCTCTGTTAACAATGACAGACTACTTTCGTGATCCTAGGTACGATTTTATCCAAGAAAAAAATTCGCATATGTATAATATAAATCACAATTTTATCGACTTAGTAAGGGGTACAGCGTCGAACACCTTCTGCAAATCTAGGATGCGCACTCTGCAGAGAGTCGATGAACCAGAGCTTTTGCTGCGTCATGTGTATATTCTGTAAACTGTGTAATACAGGAAAGACATTTCCCAAACCCGGGCTCCAGTAAGTTTAGCAAATAATGTTAGTTTATATGTGCTACAGCAGAAGTATACAAAATATGCTCTCAAAGCTTACAGAATAAATGCGACCCACATCCCAACATGGAGGGAACTGGAGTAAACGCGTCGCAGAGTGGTGAGGTATCGCGTAAATGTTCCCTAATTGCGTATGGTTTGGAATGATTAATTCTTATTTTGTCTTTATTATTCTTAAAACCGGGTTCAGGTTCCAGTGGTGGTCTGTCTGGATCCAGAGATTCTTAGCACCCTCTGCGGCGCTGCAGATCTGACCACCGCTATGGTCAGGTGCTTCGAGTTGCTTCGCAGCCGCTGGGGACTGAGGGCCTTGAGTGGAACCTGGACCTGACAAAATCATATGGCTTTAGCGCAGCTCAGTTTGAGCACGAAGGACAGGTACTATAATGTCAAGAAGGGGGAAAAGCACACAACAGTGTAAGCGCTCACATTGTCGTCTGTTTTTTTCCCTTCTTGACTGTATAGTACATTTCCTTCGCGCTCAAACTGAGCTACGCTAAAGCCATATCATTTAATCATGGACCAACTTACTCAGTCAGCAGTACTAAACCTGGCAACGTTTAACGCTAGAACATTATCTATTGAGGCAAGCTGTACTATTCGAGGAGCTAGAGTGCATTAAATGGGATTTAATAGGGATCAGAGAGGTTAGGAGGAGAGATGAGGCCTATAAAGTGCTACCGAATGGGCACGTCATTTGCTATCGGGGCTTGGCTGACAGAAGAGAACTGAGAGTGGGGTTCCTTATCCAGAGAAATATAGCTGGAATCATAGAGGAATGCTATAGCAATAGCGAAAGCGTGGTCGGTATTGTAATTAAACTCAATAAAAGATACAAAATTAAGGTGGTACCGACTTATGCGCCTACGTCTAGCCATGATGACGCGTCAGCTGAAAGCTTCTATTAAGACATAGAATCAGCAATGAGCAGGTAAGAACACAACATACTATACTGATGGGAAACTTCAATGCAAAAGTAGAGAAAGAACAGGCTGGAGGCCAGGCAGTAGGAGTATATGGCATCGGTACTAGAAGTACCGGCTACAAGGAAGGCAAAGTAACGATGAATATGGATAGGATAGTAAAATCTGCGGAACAGTTTTACAGAGATCTGTGCAGTAGCCACCACAACCACGATCTTAATACAATGTTTTCTGCGAAAAAAACTAGAAGGTGCAACAGCCGATGTGAAACTTGGTGCTAATAAAACCTTTATAAGGCCTGTTCTTGAGTACGCGTCGGTTGTATGGAGCCCTCATCAATACTATTCAAAGAAACAAATAGAAAAAATTCAAAGGTATGCGGTCTGATTTGTATGCTCCCGGTATCGAAGGACAGAATCAGTTACAGAAATGCTCCATTCTTCTAGCCTCCATTTGTCAGCAACGTGCAGACAGAAAAATCGTCTTAAACTATTATTTCAAATTCTAAATGGCCAAATAATCATTAGCAAGGAAGTATACTTACTTCAACCAGGTAAAAAGAGCTCAAGAAACAACCACAACAGAGCCATTTAAACGTACAGGACTTGTACGAATAGATTTAAATACTCCTTTTTTCTTAAAACAATTGAAAAGTGGACTGAATTGCCAGTGAGTGTTGTTGACCACAACAATTTGTCGAAATTTGAACAGACCTTGCGTGATTATCTGTACAATTCTAGCGTTTGATCTTGATCCATCCTGTTTTGTGTATTTGCTAATAATGTTCTTTTTGCTATAAAGGTTTGTTATGTTATCCTGTCTTTAAGGTCTCTTGCATGAGAGTTGACAGTATTGCAAAATAAATGAATAAATAAAATAAAGAACTAGCAGTAACCCCGATGGCACCCCCCCCAGTAATGATAAAAGACGTCCCAAAAGCCTTGAACAGGATGCAAAGAGGCAAAACTGCTGGTGAGGATCAGGTAACATCAGATATGCTGAAAGATGGAGGACAGATTGTGTTAGAAACACTAGCGACCCTGTTTACGATGTGTCTCCTGATGGGAAGACTACCAGAATTTTGGCAGAATGCTAACTTCATCCTAATACATAACAAAGGAGATGACAAGAACTTGAAGAATCGCAGGCCGATTAACTTGCTCTCTGGAGTATACAAGTTATTTACAAATGTAATTGCTAACAGAATTAACACAACATTAGAATTCAATCAACCAAAGGAACAAGCAGGATTTGGAACAGGCTACTCAACATTAGACCTCATTCCTACTAACAATCCGGTAATAGAGAAATGCACAGAATACAGCCTACCACTATACATAGCCTTCATAGTTTACGAGAACGCGTTTGATTCAGTAGAAATATCAGCAGTCATGCAGACACTGCGGAATTAGGGCGTCGACGATACATATATAAACATCCATATGTGCATATGCATATCTATAAGTATATATATATATATATATATATATATATATATATATATATATATATATATATATATATATATATATATGCATTTATAACATGCATATATAAACAGGGGATCAACTGCTACCATAGTGCTTCATAAAGAAAGCAACAGAATACCAATCAAGAAGGGTGTACAGCAGGGTGTACTATCTACCCAAAGCTGTTTACCGCGTGCTTACAGGGGGTTTCCAGAGGCCTATAATGGGAACAGTTAGGCATAAGAGTTAATGAAAAGTACCTTAGTAACCTGCCCTTCGCCGATTACATTACATTGCTGAGTAACTCAGGGGACGAATTGCAACTCTTGACTACAGAGTTAGACAAGGAGAGCAGAAAAGTAAGTCTTAAAATTATTCTGCAGAAAATGAAAGTAATGTACAAAAACCTCGGAATAGAGCAGCGCTTCGAGATAGGTAATAGTGCACATGAAGTTGTGAAAGACTATGTCTACTTAGGACAGGTAATAACCATGGAGCCGAACCACGAGATTGAAGTAACTAGGTGAATAAGAATGGAATGGAGCATATTTAGCAAGCACTCTCAAATCATATGACAGGTAGATTACCACTATCCCTCAAGAGGACGGTATATAACAGCTGCCTATTGCCAGTACTTAGCTACTGAACAGAAACCTGGAGACTTACAAAGAGGGTTCAGCTTAAATTGAGGACAACGCAGCGAGCAATGGAAAGAAAAATGGTAGGTGTCACCTTAAGAGATAAGAAGAGAGCAGAGTGGATTAGGGAACAAACAGGGGTTAAGGATATCATAGCTGAAATCAAGAAGAAGAAATGTACATGGGCCGGGCATGTAGCACGTAGACAGGATAACCGCTGGTCATTAAGGGTAACCAACTGAATTGCTAGAGAAGGCAAGTGGGTTAGAGGGACACAGAAGGTTAGGTGAACACATGAGGTTAAGAAGTTTGCGGGTATAAATTGGCAGCAGCAAGCACAGGACCAAGTTGACTGGCGGAACATGGGAGAGGCCTTTGTCTTGCAGGGGATG